TGATGACAAGCAAAACTAATACTAGTCTTGACACAAGTCCTTGTTCAAGAATCTGTGATCTAAGAGTGTCCATCTTCCCTGCTATTCCTGTTCTTCCAGGCTGTTGTCAAGTTCATAATTATCATTGCATATCATAAGTCATGACATTAATTAATTGTTTGTTTTTTAAAATAAAATAAAATAGCACATTTGATAAAACAGTAACATGTAAAATCAATACCTTCTTTTAGCTGGAAACCTCCACTAAAGTATTGCAGTAAGTTGATCCTTGGTAAAATAACTTGCTTCTTCCAGAGCTGCAGATCTGAGCATGCGCGACCACACCCAAATTTTGGAGCACATGGCAAGCTTCTTTAATTAATAATTAACAAAATGGCGGCACGTAGCTAAGATGGCTCGATCCAGCAGTCACAGTATCACTTTTTCCTTACTTAAAGAATGATCTGATGGGACATGGACCTGCGCATAGACTGTTGGAGTAGATTGGTGCAATAATTATTGTTGTAGCACCAACTGATACTGAGATACACACCGACAACTTAATTGACAGGACTTGATGATGAAGATTATGATGATGATGATGAAGATGAAAAAAGGTGGCTGAACAAAACGGCCGGTTCGCCGATTTTTGACTTTTCACTTAGACAAGGTCTAGAGTCACGCTAGTTGTACCATTGGAGTCCTCTGGTCAAGATAAGGTCCTCTATAAAGTCTGGTAAGCATAGGAGCTCGTTTTCCCAGTATAGCAAGGCTGCAAAAGTCGTGGCAGCCATTTTGTTTGGGGGTGAATCCTACTTAGTAACGCTACCGCGTTACTAATAGTACAGGGACTTTCGTCAAATTTTGGAGCAAATTTAAAAATCCATAAAACCCAATCTTGATCAAAATCCACTCAAGCTTTCTACACAACATAAGTACATGTATATGTATCAGGAAAAATTATAAAAGTTAAGAATTCGCTCCTTGACATTTCTGAAGAAATTTGGCCAAATAGACTGTACTAAAGTACAGGGACTTTGGCCCATTTTTAGCAACTTTAAAAATTCGTAAATATCCAATTTTGATCGGAATCTGCTCACACTTACTACACAACATAAGTAATGTAATGTATACATGTACATGTATGTATCAGGAAAAATGATAAAAAGAGAGAATTCACTCTTTGACATTTTTAGTGAAATTTGGCCAAAGTTCCTGTACTGTAGTACAGGGACTTTCATCAAATCTTGGAGTAATTTTAACAATTCATAAAAAACTAACTTTGATAAAAATCTGCTCAAACTTTCTACACAACATAAGAACATGCATATTCATCAGTAAAAATTATAAAAATTTAGAATTCTCTCCTTGACATTTTCGGAAAATTTTGGCCAAAGTTCATGTACAGGGACTTTGGCCTGATTTTTAAGAACTTTAAAAATTCATAAAAAATGCAAATTTGATCAGAATTAGTTCACAACATAAGTACATGTATCAGAAAGTGAAACTCCAATTAAATCCATTCAGGCTTACATCTCAATTACAATCACTAAGCCTCTAGTCTAATAACCCCAGATCTAGCTCTCTACTATAACATAACTTTATACTTACCACATAACTTTATAATAATGACTGGTCACATTATCAGTAGACGAAGACTGAGCTGTATTAACTAATGGAGTTGAAGTACTTGTTAATGGAGACACAAATGATGATGACACAGAGGGCACAGTAAACTTATGAGTCACTTTATTGGAAGAGGAGGAGGAGGAGGAGGGGAGAGGGGAAAAAGAAGTGACAGAAGTAGCAGCAGTAGAAGTGGTAGAGGAAGCAGTTTCTGTACTGAGAGCAATGTCACTGCTAGTTGGCTTAACGAGGATACTTTGTTTGTTGGTTGGTTGCTCTAATGAGGGGGTGTGGTCTGTTCGTTGACGTAATGAGAGAAGAGCACTCTGTAATACATTGCTGTGTCCTCCTTCTTTCACAACCCCTCCAGTCTCCTAATAAGATACATAAATTGAAGTTTAAAGAGTTTAAAAAACACAAAACCTGCTGTATGATGTAAAATTTTGAAGGGCTGTATACATAAATGTCGTAGATTTTGCGATTTTAAAAAATTTTCAAAAATTGATTCTGAAAAATAACTTATTTATAAAATGTCAGACGGTATAACTTCGCAAATATTTAATTCAAAAATTTTTTAAACTTTTTTGCTATATAGTGCCAATTCTTTTATGCAGTCTTGCATAGCCATAAGCCCCTCCCTCTATTTTTATCTAATTATTTCAGGATAAATTAGTTACCTTATCAGTGTCATCAGATGATATTTTATTGCATTTGGTAGACCAAGGAGTAGAGAAAGTCGCCCTTTTACTAGCAGAACCCAGAACAGACGGAGCAGCCGACCTCTTCATGATTTATGTATTACTATTTTCCCCGCGATTTCCATTGACATTAACTTTTAATAACTGTTTTGAGCTTGCGCAGTAACTTCATCTGCCAATTTGCACACGTGGATACACGTGGTTTGATTATTATTAAAAATAATTAATGTAAAATAATATTAACAAGTCTACTTTCAATATTGACCACTCAAGATCTATTAATTCATCTGTTTCTTCTCACTTTCATACTGTAAGTATAGTTTCATTCAATATCTACAATGATAGGTACACTTACTAAAGGATTGTCAATCATATCACAATCTTCATCATAATTTACTTCTCGATACTATAAAATACTAATAATAATCAATTGATGAGTGATCAACTAACTGCAAGATTCTTCATTGTATTAATTTGGTCATCAAAATTACTTTGACTTATGTCCGTATAAAATGGAACATTATCATTACCTATTTAGCTAATAATAGATTGAAAATCCATTTACGTCTAACTTTGGTTTGTATCAGAGCTAGCTGTAAAATTCAACTTGCTATATTGTGAAGGAACTAAAATATGAGAAAGACAAAGAGACAGAATTCACAGTTATGTTTACACTGCTGTGTCAACATTTTTTGCACAAACATTACATGATATCATCTACTCTTGCTTGCAAGCACAATAATACTATTAAACATATAGCATTAAAACTAAATACACATAGATCACACTGTTTTTCAGACTCAGCAAGTTATACTTAGATAATCAATTCACTACGAATTCTAACCTTCAAATGGTCCCTGAGATTCAACACCTAAAATAATTAATATTGATAGCTAAGCACAGACATGTTAGTTGTTTCTTACTATGATAAAGTTCATTATGGAATGAAAGCTCATTTCTGGGACCAACTTCTTCATCTATAAATATTAAATAAAAAATTTAAAATGTATAATAATCTATTATTTACATTGAGCTTCCATTTGATTATTTCCAAGTGCAACATTTTTTTTCTTTTTTGAGCGAAACATCATTACAATCACAACAATAGCACACAATGCTAACAACAGTAATAATAAAACTATAATTCCAACTAGGCCTCCAGCTATAGCTGGTAATAAGCTTTCTTGAGGATTTGAAGTGCTGCTACCAGTAATAGATACACTACTTGATATTAATGTCCCACTTGTGGAAGAAATGGACACACTATCTGATTGTGAAATAGGCCTTCTTATACTACTGGTATGAGAAACGCTAGTCACACTGGTTTGTGAATTAAGAGATTGAGTAAAAGACATAGGATTTTGTGTGCTTTGAATGTTAATACTTTCAGTGGACATAGCTGTGGAAAAAGCACTAGCAATAGAGACACTCTGTATAACAGACTGAGTGGTAAAATAAACACTTGAAAAAGTTACTGGAACTGATGAGAAAGCTAATTAATAAATGAAAGCATTAGAATTTCAAGGTTTTAATCTACTTACATGCTTCATCTTGGATTTTTGAAGATGTTACATACAGTGACGTTACAGTTGCTGGAAATGTAAAAAGTAAATATATTATTCAAAATTTATTAACTCACTATCAACTTGAATTTCTACAGTCACTAATGGAAAATTCATCTTTACAGTTGTGTGTTGTGATGTAAAAGTTGATGGAGCACTATAAAGATTGGTAGTTTGGATCAAATTTAATGGCCCATTTCCTTCTTGCTCATGTAAGTTCACTTGAGTATTGGGAGGGTTGAAGACGCCAAATATATCCCCTTCTTGAAATGATAAAGGAGACTTAGGAATAAATTCAAAGACATTGCTTCCATGGATTGTAGAGTTGCTCATTGTTATTGAACTGCTACCTACTTTTATATAATTACTGGGACTTGTCTGCCGCCATATTTGGAGCTCAGGCTGTTGCGTATTTGAATCATTTATTGTAGCACCATAAATCCATTTTGTGATACTTCCATTACAATAAAATTCAATCTCTGGGTAGATAATCTGTCTTTGCATCATCAGTGGAGAAACTTCATTTATTAGAAGAGAATACGATCTGAAAGCTGTCTCATTAACTGTACTCATAACACAATGAGTGTCTGTAATAAAGAATAATAGTAATTATGTATTTAATCAGAAAGCTTATCACACAAAATTCTGGCTATCTTTAAAAGTTGTCTAACAAATTTATAGGTCAATACCTGTTATTATTGGGTGCACCAAAACTAATTGATCATTTAATGATGAATTGACTGGGGTGGTGTAGGATGTAGTGCCAAATGGAAATTCAACTGTGACCCATGGCATATTGCCAATGTAATGAACAACAACAATACTTTCATTTTCATCTGGTTGTGATATAGCTAAGTTGTCTCCATTTTGCACTGATATAGGAGGATCAAGTGGATATTCAAACACTCCACTGGTACTGACATTAGAAGTGGAATAATAAATGATCCTCTCACTCTCAGCCACTACAGAATACATATTATTACTATTATTTGATATTCTAAAGAGTTGAACACTGGGAAAGCGTGTACGAATACCAGTAGCTACCCTCACATCAATCCCCAATATTAGACTAGTGATATTAGTTGGACAATTGAATGGAAAACCCCGAAGGATTCTGATCTCATTATCAAGTGGACCATTTACAGCCACTTTTGTTCCAATCTGCCCAGCTCTTTTAGAAACAAGTGGTAGCTCCATAAATCTCTCAGTGCACTCCTCCACATCTGAGAGACACTGTGCATTACCTTTAATAGCAAAACTATCATAAAATAACAAGCAACAATGATGCTTCTCACTTGTGAAGAAGAAAAAGTAAAAAAGACACACCAGAGAGACTGACATGACCAGTTTAAGGAGAATTGGAGGAGTGGCTGACAGTTTGCACAGAACATTCAATAATGAGATTTATTGATCAATGGAATGCTTCATTGCACTACAATATCTACTGTTAACAGCACAACTAAAAATTGCACACCAAACACTAAATTATATGCTATGTGAAAAACCGATAATAGGCAACTAGATTATCTGGTCTTAAGCAGCCTCTGTACCTAATAGTAAATCCTCAATTTCAATTATAGTTTTCAGCAATGTTGTTGTTGTGATTACTATAAAAGATGCTTCTAATTCATAAGGTGTATCGGTAATTGTAATTTAGGAAATAACCTAAAAATTTGTGACAATCAGAATCGACTTAAAAATTCCACACAACGTAAGTATGTCAGAATATGTAATAATTCCCATAGCAATTTCAATTTTTGAGAAAAATTGGCCAAGGATTATGCATAGTTTTTGACTGCAACTTTAAAAATTTTTGAAAATTCTATTTTGTCTCAAAATTGCCAAATAACATAAGTATTTACATCTATATGCATCAGTAAAATGTAATACAGGTCTATAGAGAGAAGAGGAAAACTTCAGAAATCACTACTCACTGCCATACTATAAAGAGTTGTTTGCAAAAGTGATGTAGGATTGATACTACTGACACGTGATCTGTATAAACTGAGAAAGTGAATAATGATTTAAATTCCAAATAAGGACTGTTTGTTAATACCAGTAACCTACACCCCTTATTTCTACAAGGGGTGTTACATATGTAACTTACAAAATGGATTCAAACTCTAAAGAAGAAAGGTCTTCTTCTACACTTCTTAACAAAACAAGTAAGAAGAAATCAAATGCTTCCAAGTGCTGCAAAAGATACTGGAAGGAGTTAAAGTCTCGTTCATTGAATATACCTACAATACTGTTGCTGATATATGCAGCTCCAATACCATTCTGTCGTGCAATCCTGATTAACATCATCAAAGGCTTCATTAATGGTCATAAGCAATGTGAGGAACAATACTTCTATATTGAGCCTAACTATCTAACAATTTTTTTCAATGCTCTATCAGCAAATGCACTATTTTTCCTAGTTCCTTTATGTGGCTGGTTGTCTGATACTAAAATCGGACGTGGTAATGCTGTTTATCTCAGCCTGTGGCTTGGTTGGATAGGCACTCTACTACGTTCAATAGGATGCTGTTTGCAATTTGATGCCTGTGACAAAACAAGCATAATAGGAAGATTAGTCCTTTCTGGTATAGCTGTCATTTTTCTTCTAAGCTCATTGGCATTTATGTTCACCAATATACTAGCATACAGCATTGATCAGATGATGCATGTCTCCAGTACCAAAATAAGAGCATTCATCCGCTGGTTTGTTTGGGCATATTTTCTTTACTATAACATACATGTATCTTTTGATATCACTCTTGACCAGCCATTTGCACTTCTTGTTGCAGTTGTTGCATTTGCTCTCTTCTGTTTTTCCCTTTGCCTCCATTTTCATTTCAAGAATCATTTTGAGCACATTCCTATTCCCAATCCTTATAAAATTGTGTTTAAAGTGTTGAAATCTTCCTACAAAAGAAATCGGGCCAGAATGCAACAGCGTAGTGCATTCACATATTGGGGTAAAGAGCCAAGTAGAATGGATCTTGCTAAGGAGAGGTATGGTGGTTCATTTACTCATGAAGAAGTTGAAAACGTCAAGACTTTTATGCGCATTTTAGCTGTCATGGCTGCACTCTTTCCTTTTTTTATTGTGTCTGATTCTTTTTGTGATAAAATGTCCACCTTTGTTCAACAAAACACCAAGGAAGGTCCTGATAACTCGAGTGAGTACTACATAGTCCAATACATTGGCTATGCCCCTCTATTAGTACTGATTCCTGCATGCCAGTTGATTATTCTGCCTCTCTTCCCTAAATTTGAATATTTTCTGCTCAATCCATTGAGAGGACTTGGTGTCGCTAATGTTCTTATCCTATTATCAATTTTAAGCCTCTTTATCATTGACTTCATTACTAATGATGTGCCCTGCAACATAGATATGGCCCTAATCTATGCCTACAATGAGACCAATAAATCAAATTCTGCAACAATTCCATTATCCTATTCCAATGGACGGAATAATACATGGATTCTTGTCATACCATCAGTACTAGGTGGTACATCACTAATTCTCAATTTGATATACTTATTTGAATTTCTATGCAGTCAAGCTCCCTTTGGTATGCTTGGAATGATTATTGGGCTCTTCTGGTGTATACATGGTGTCTTTGACAGCATTGGCTCATACATTGCTTACGTATCAACATCAGTTTTATCCTGCATTTCATTGGCAACTATCCCATTTGGTGTCATTGCAGTGGTTGGGTTAGTATTGTACCTAGTCGTAGCTCGTTGGTATGTGAACAGGGTCAGAGACACTGATCTTGATTTACGCACTGAAGTAGAAAATAACTGGGAGCAACGGCTGATAAAAGAGAACTTACTTGAAAATGATAATCAAACTGACTATGACACTTTTGTTATTTCTAGCATGGATGGGCCATAGCAATAATTTTTAAAAAGGGTGACTTTAAATAATTTTAGTAATATTTTTTTATTATTAGTAGTAGTAGATCTATATATCCAGTGTTATTATTAATGCTCCATTTTTGTTTGACTTTATAATAGTTAGATCACACATGTATGCATCTACCTTATCTTCATTGAAATTCAAAATATTGTGAACTTTATCTTCTAATATAGTCTATTTGTCAAAACTTTATCAAAATGACTAGAAATTGATTTTATGCATTTTTAAATTTTTTATGATGTTTATGTACATGAATTTATGTTGTATGAAAATTATGACCTGATTCTGATCAAAATTGAATTTTTTTAAAAATTTTCAAAGCTGCTCAAAATTGGGCCAAAAACCTTGTATATAGTATTATACGCCAAATTTTGTCAAAATTTACAAGGAGATAATTTTCAATGTTTATAATTTTTTCCTGATGCATATGGTACATGTACTCATGTTGAGTGCCAAGTTTGAGTTGATTCTCACAAAATTAGATTTTTTAATTAATTTTTTAATACATTTATATTGATGCACTGTTCTTGCTTCGAGGCAAAAGGGTAAGACTAACTTAAGGGGAGATAATCATGTATTGCAGGAAAATGCACAGTACCCACAGCTAAGTATAGAGTCTATGCATGTGCACAGTCACAGTGTGGGCAATATTAACAGTATGAAAGTTTCTAGTCAAATTTGATAATGTGAAAACATCAGAGGTTGCTGTAGTTTTTATTAAGTTAGATCTTGTTTGTGATTATAAATTGAGATTGTATTTGTAATGTTAAAACTATACAGTGAACTGTATGGTAAACAACCATAACCAAATCAACTAACACAAAAACAAGTTAAGCTGAGAATGCATATAATGTACAGCCATCATGTTTGGAAGCATACAAACAATTACCATTACAGTGCCTGGTGAGGCTAAAATACAGTTTCATATAGTACATTATTTATAACTGTCTCATATGCTGGATTAACATATGTCTTTATTCCTGATGGCATTTGTTGGGGAAGTGGAACTATCAATAATAAATAATAAATTTTAAAATGGCATGTATATACTTTGTCCATAAGCAAGATTGTTAATCATAAAGGTACCTGATAAAATGGTGAGAAATACATACCATAATAAATAATTAATTATAACATTTTACTTTTCGTTTTTATTCTTCTAATATGCCAAACAGCAGAAATTGCAATAATGATTGTGATTAGAGCAAACACAATAACAGCACCAACTCCACTACCTATTAATACAACTGAATTAATACTGTTGCTGTTGATAGTACTAGTAATTGCTGGTGATATGTTAATAACAGCAGATCTACTGGGAGATTCTAAATAAGAGTAAACATTATATTCTGTACTAATCATAATGTACCTGAAGAAGTTAGTACAGACACATCCTCACTCTAAAGTGTGTGCAATAATTCTAATAATTGAAAATATTACTTAATTGCAATCTAATTACATCTTTACCATTACTAGATCTAACAAATGAAGGTGAAAGCATCAATTTAACTACTGTCACTAGTTTAGGTTGTACACATGACCATGGTATGATGCTCCCATTAAGAATATCATAAGCAGTCACAGTATAATGTCCACTGGTTGATAATGATATCGTTGTATTATCTGATCCTGTTATGTTGAAGGATTCACTTCTTTTATTTGCCACATCATTAAATACCACATGACATCCTTCAGCAGTAGATAGCAATGCATACACACACTCTACACTAACTGACTCATTTTCATTTGATACAATAATATCATAAACATCTGATGATGGTGTGGCTATGAGAAAAAATAAAAATCATTAAAAAATATCATTATGTACTCACAAAATGTGAAATTAGTTTTATCTCCTCTAATAAAATAATGGAACACATCAATAACAGCAGTGTATGTTCTACATGGTTTTAATCCAATCATTTTATATTGGAATATTTCTTCTTTTTCATTAGCATTAAAAACCTGAGTATTTTCTTCTATTTCTTCATCAGGATCAACTCTACCCATTATTGTACTGTCACATGATTGTGTACTGTTTATCTAATAAATCTAGAGCTAAAGTTATTTTATTCAATGTTATATTTACCAAGCTAGTGAGATTAGCACTAAATGTAGCATTTGATTGATCATAATTCATAGAAAAGCTTTCATAAGATACAGTATAATCTGCAGAAGTGAATAGAATGCTCCAATCAAATCATAAACACATACTTGCTGTGCTGTTGAAACTGTGTACTGTTCCAACTGACACATATTGTGCAATAGATGCAATAACATTGACATTTAATTCTTGACAGGAAATATCCAATGATGTAGTATTCAACCATACACTAGTATCAGTAGTATTAGTAACACTGATACCATTCACTAGTATGTTATATGTTGTACTTGCTCCTTGTGGTGGTATATCATTGGAATAAAAAGAAGGAGGAGACCATGAGAGTAACTGATCATCATTAGACCATTGTAGGTCTTCAACAGATGATATTCCTATTTCAAAAAAATAATTATATAAATAATATTAGATTATAAACCTCGTATTGTTAGAGTGCTTGTTGAAGTGGTTGGATCAAATGGATTAGAAATTGAATAAATATGACAAGTAATACTAACTCCATCATTGTTAGGCAATACAGAAACTGATAAAACTGATGACAATACAGCAGGGGATGCACTAGTGTTGGTAACAGTTAAATCTCTTCCTTGATTAAGAGAATGGTCTGTTGGTAAGCCTTCAACTGTCCATCTTAGAGCATCACCAGTTCCTTTACAACTAAAATTGACTCTTCCTCCTTCATTTAGCAGTACAGTGACTGACTCTGGAGGTGTAGTTATGACTACAGGAAGATACTACAATAGATTGATTAGTAGTAAGCTAACCAGCTCCCTCCACTGATAAAGATATCACCAGTAAGAGCATAAATATCTTCATGCTACTCTACAAGTCACATCATATTTCCTTAAATGGCAATTGTTAAGATAACAACTGATAATAACTGTAACAAATGGCCATAAAAACTATTAGCCTAATTTAAAAAAGACTACTACAGAGTATAGTACAGTCAGTTATTACTTTGGCAGCCAGTAATATGCAGTTATAACTTATAAGCACAGATAACAATTAGCAAATATAGATCTAGCTACTTTTTATTGAATATCAATTACAATGCAGTGCTGGTTGCAGTGTCAGTTGCAGTGCCTTCATCAATTTCATCATAGGATGGTGGTTCTGGCTTGGAATCTTGTTGTTCTTTATGAGGATCTCTGACAGCTTGTTGTAAAGTAACAAAAGGATATTGATGAATATTAGATGATGGGGGAAATGCCATGCCCGGTGGAATAAAAGCATAATATCCCCCATGGGGCATTCCGTTAGGCAAATTAGAAGGAAATATTGGTGGAGGAGGATTTGAAGCACTAGTTGGTGATGCAGTATACTGAGGTGGTTTTTGCTGCTCTGGTGATCTTCCAGTAGATGAGGAAATGGTATTCAATTGAAAATTTGATCTGTCACTTGCAGCAGCATTTGTCTCAGCTGTGGAAGTGAATGATATTATTCTTCTCAATCTTCTGGAGCGTGATTTCTTAGTGCATGTATGAACAGAAACAATAATAATCACTGCTATTATTATAATTAAAATAATGCCACTGAATGTACCACCAATTGCTCCTCCAATAGCTATATATGAAAAAGTATCTTTGAGTGAAGTAATAAATCAGCAGTTTTTTTACCTGCACCATTACTATTATCACTATTGCAGTATCCTACAGTTGCTATATTTGTTGATGATGAAGAATATGCTATCATGATTATGAAGATAAAAATTAAAATAATAAGAGGAACTTACAACAGGCTACTGTAACATCCTCTGAATGTGAGCATGATGTAATACTGGAACTGGGACAAGAATTCCTTGAATTGAAGCAAGTACTTGATGAAGTGCTTGAAAAATAAGTAGACCATATTGGTTTACTCTGATTGCCAGGACTATTAGCAATAGCAATTATTATTATTATGTTAATTACGATAATAGCTCACAGGGCCAAATGGTCATATCTTGAATAGCTACTGTATCCTAACTGCTTACAGACAGTTCTAGCATCAGTAGAGTCGAACCCATCATCACATATTGTTCCCCATTGTCCATTACAATACACTTCCACTCGTCCTTGATTAGAGTAAATTCCTCCTTGAAGACGTAGCATACCAGTGTATGGGCTGCTCCAAATTCTAGTAGTATCTATTAAAAAATTTATTTAGTGTATTATAATTCATTCATTTCTTACAGCAGTAGACTGTGGCATCATAGGAATTGGTGTTAGTACACCCACTATCAATGTATGTAGAGAAGGAGCATTGTAATAATGTTAAATAGTTGCTATTAGCACAATTCACATCATCAATTATCATTTGATTAGTATCAGTCCCATAGTTCGTTAGTCCAGCTCTAGAGTAGCTTGAAGCTCCAGTGTATCCCAACTGATGACAAATGACATTAGCTTCAGCTGAATTATAATAACTATCATCACAAATGTTACCCCATAAACTATTGTAATAAAGTTGCACAATGCCGTGATAGTATGAAGATGAGGCAATCCCATTACGATAAAGAACTACTGTACCAGTAATAGCAGAACCAGTATTATCTATTAATTAAAATTTTGTAAAAATACTGAAACCAAAAACTTATGATGTATACACTTGTCTGCATAAAAAATCTTACAATTAAGTGTCAATAATTGTATGCACTTACAGGCACATCTGACTCCTGCATCTTCAGAGTGAACACAGTTGTGACTTGTGGTATGTATACAGTTTGTAAGGCCAGATTCAGTTCCTATGCAATGGACATCATCCATTACAATTGTTCCACTTCCTTGTCCAAAGTAAGCATTCCCCAGGGCAGATACTGTATGTTGTGCTTGTTTTAAAGATGCATAGTTATTATTCATTTACCTGGTTCATATCCAAGTTGCCTACAGACAACAGTTGCATCACTGATGTCCCAGTAATCATCACAGACAGTACCCCATGATCCACCACTGCATACTTCAACACGTCCTTCTAGACTATTTGTTCCTCCAACTAAGCGAATGCTTCCAGTATTACTGCAAGCAAATCCTGAAGATGATGATACTGCAGGAAGAATCAGTATATAACACAACAGAAACTGTATAATTTGCATGAACAAAGCTTAATTTTGGGTGCATGGGTCTGGTATGTGCCCTGAATATTATGAATCATGAATAACAATAATAGCTATCACTTGTAGCTATATAGGGCAATTAAAGTTAGTACTGGCATGCATTGATCTTATAGCTGAAATAATCTCAATGCTCGTGATATAGATCTAAATAAAAATACTCCTAGCTCGTATCTTCAAGCTCTATGCATGCTCCCCTTCAGATAATGGGTACATACTTCACCAATTTAAGATTGCTCTTTATAATTTTAGGGGCCACAATAATGCTCTTATATTCCACTTCAAACAGGCCATAATCATGCATGGACAGTTATACCAGCTTGCCTATGCAAGCATGGCAGTTCCAATAATTTATGATCATGCATTACTTACTTGAACATCTGACACCTGCATCTTCATAATGGGAACAGTCATGATTTGTGGTGTGTATACAGTTTGTAAGGTAAGATTCAGTTCCATCACACTGGACATTGTCCATCACAATTGCTCCACTTCCTTGTCCAAAGTAAGCACTTCCCAAGGCAGATACTGTTTAATTTTTTTATGTTGTATTTATTTTGAAGCTGTATATTCATTTACCTGGTTGGTATCCAAGCTGTCTACAGACAACAGTTGCATCACTGAAGCCCCAGTAATCATCACAGACAGTACCCCATGATCCACCACTACATACTTCAACACGTCCTTCTAGATTACTTGTTCCTCCAACTAAGCGAATGCTTCCAGTGTTACTACAAGCAAGTGATGATACTGCAAGAAGAAAAGAAATTAAAATTTGTTTGAACCAAGCTATAGCTTCAATGATAATGAAGCAGTTGGGTCAAATAAACCTTGGGTTTTGTGTGAGTATCATGTTAACTGGATTTCATAAAATTGACTTGAGTTACATAATCTGTTCTAATAGCTGCAATAATCTCATAGTTCACCGATGTGTCAATGATTTGAGGTATATAGACTACATTGTCCCTTCATAATTTTGTGGGGAGCAACTGCTGCCCCTTATACTCTCCTACACTCCACTTCATGCGTGCGGGTTTATACACTTGCCTATGCAATTAACATTGCTGGATTACTCACCTGCACATCTAACTCCTGCATCTTCATAATGGGCACAGTTGTGACTTGTGGTATGTATACAGTTTGTAAGGCCAGATTCAGTTCCTATGCAATGGACATCATCCATTACAATTGTTCCACTTCCTTGTCCAAAGTAAGCATTCCCCAGGGCAGATACTGTTAGATTATATTATGTTTGTTTTAAAGATGCATATTTATTTATACCTGGTTGGTATCCAAGCTGTCTACAGACAACAGTTGCATCACTGATGCCCCAGTAATCATCACAGACAGTACCCCATGATCCACCACTGCATACTTCAACACGTCCTTCTAGATTACTTGTTCCTCCAACTAAGCGAATACTTCCATAAGTACAAGAAAATCCTGATGATATTACTGCAAGAAGGATCAGCAAAAAGAAAAGAGTATTTGAGCAAAGCTTCATTGTGTAGGAGTTTGGTTTGGGTGGGGCTGTTGCTGCAATAGTCATTACATTAGTCATAACTTTAAATTTAATCATAGACAGCCCCACCCTTTAAAATGGCGACCTACAAAACTTAATGATCATGAGTTCTATCCACGTCACGGTTCCTATTGTGTTTTGGGGGCATCATCCTCCAGTACACGATATTACCTGTATGACCAGGTACAGAGCTTTGGATTTTGATACTGATACTGACTTGTATTCAATCATAGGACAGAGGAAGATAAAGGAGTAGCTACTGGTACTAAAACGGGACAGATATGCATCTGGGACTTATACAGGAAGAGAATCAATGGAGAATTTGTGGTTAGACCGATAATCATTATCACTTAAATGCCTTCTGTACTCGCTTCTGTATTATTTTAATTAATGCCCACCACCACTTCCAATTAATGCCCATCCTATCTAGTTATGTCCGAGACTATTGCTACTAGGAATGCAGTCGAGTATATTGTCTCTTGCTTTTGTTAAGAACTGGTCTGGAGACAGGGACAGGATTGTCAGTCTTAGTAAAAATGGGTGTGTTGATGTGGTAGGGGTGTGGCTAGTTATTAATGTTATATTAATAGGTGCATAGCATTGTGGGATGGTAAAGATGGGACGTGTCTTAAGACTATTAATAATCTTGGAAATGGAATGCATTATGGAATAAAGGTAGTGGTAATATTAATACATTATGTTAATTATGGTTTCCCACATTATGTTAATCATGGTTTCCCACATTAAATTTTACTTAGTGAGCTAAGCAGTGCAAGCACTATGGAGTCACTTTTAAAAGTTATAAAAAATCCAATTTTGATTAGAGTCAGCTCAAACTTTTTACACAACATAAGAGCATGTATATGCATCAGAAAGCATTATAAAAATGGAGAATTCCTTTCAAATTTTGGCAAAAATTTGGCTCAAGACCATGTTATAGTACAGGGACTTTGACCTGGTTTTGAGGAACATACATGTACACCGATGATAATCATGATACAGATGTCAATTTTGATCACAGTCAACTTAACCCCCCCCCCTCTCTCTCTTCCTTTCCCTTTCTATTATTTCTAGTCAATAGCACGTCCTGCTATTAAAGAAACTTTGATTGCAGTTTGGGGACAATATCACAATATATTTATACTTGATCCTAATACACTGGAGGTATTATTATTTATTTCTGTTGTTTTTATTTTCACTATTGTCAAGAGTAGATAATAAGGACTTACAGATTATTATTTGTTTATTTTTGTATTTGCAGTTCATTTGTGCTTTGAAATCCTCTCACAATCCAAACTGGATATCACAGCTTTGTTTTATTCCAAACATTGACAGAAATGGTAATAATATTCACAATGTACAATGTACTATTCTGTTAGCTCATGTCTCTTACATTCTGCCTTCTTTTGTACATATACATGTACATATACATGTACTTTCTATGTTCCCCCTTCTTCCCTATCTCTCTCTTCCTCCTTCCTATTTTATTCTTTATCTTTATCTTTTTTATTTTTCTTTGCTCTCCTATTCTTTCTTGTATTTTGCTGTATCTCTTTACTCTTTCCTAACTTAACACTTCTCTCTCTCTCTCTCTCATTACAGATGCTATGATAGCCATAACAGTTGATGGGACATTGAAGGTGTGGTTAATCCACTCTAATATTGAAATGAAGGAGATGACTGATCTGTTTGAGGAGAGGTCGAAGGCTCTAGGTCTATCTGCTCCTCTCTCATTGACCTCAGAATCCATCGCTGACTTCTCATTAGCACTTGTTGTCTGTAGGGACTCCTGGCAGGTAATGATATTTATTATTATAACCGTATAGTGTGAAATTTTGGAGGGAGTTAAATTTAATGAATTGCTAAATTTTGATGATTGGTGGATTTTAATTTAGCAAATTTGTAGCCATGTGCCTTGAGCATGCGCATAATGGCTCGAAATGGTGGATTTTGTTTTGGCAAATGGCTATCAAAGCACCAAATTGCCAAATTTAATTTTCTCCAAAATTTCCCGCTATGCAGTATATTCTGTAGCTAAATGTACATGTAAAATGTACATTTTAGATAATTTTAAGTAGATAAATTGGGCAAATTGCTTTTATGAAGGTCTGGCAATTATTTTTTTGCAAGGCTGTTTGATCATGTTTATCATACCCACATCTCAAGTTAATTTATGGGACTAATTTTTTAAATTTTATTCACCTAAATTTTCTACCTGGTACATGTACATGATACATGTATACATGTACATGTAGTACATGCAGTTCTTCATTTATTAATGTATGTAATTTCACAACTTTTGCTTTATTTGCATGTACAATGTACATGTACATGTATATACAGTACGTGCATATACATGTACATGTACACAGTTTGTCCTTTTCTGTTTTTACATGCATATTAGATGTAATCTAATCATTATTAATTTTTTATTTTAAACAATACAATTGTATAACCTACTGTGTTTCATGTAGATATATGACGCTAGTGATGGTAGGATGAAGCAGTTGCTGATTCATCCTTGTGAGCTAGGAGTAAATGAATGGATTAATGGGTCGTTCCTCTCGTACAACATGGTGTTGCTCTGGGCATTAAATGGAATGGGTTATTTATATGAACTAGCTCCTCAGTAAGCTACTAATAATAATAATAATAAATATTGAATTAATTTTTTATTTGTTTTTTTATTGACCCATTTCTTATTCCCTTATTTCTCCTGCTCTAACCTGAACTAACCTATTTTAACCTGTCCTATTTTACCGTATAGTGGAAAATTTTTCTGACTCAAAATTTTTGTGGATTTTGCATTCCCCCCTTCCAAAATCCATAAAAATAAAATCTGCAAAAATTTATTCAATACAGTTCAAGATCGCCGAAAAGTAGAAAACCACGAAAATTAAAGCCACGAAATTGATTTTTGAATGGATCTGCGAAATTTTGGGCCACAAAATTTTCTGCTATGCGGTATATAATAATGATAATAATAATAATAATAATAATAATAATAATAATAATAATAATAATAATAATGATAATAATTAACAATTATTCATAATTTATTTTCTAGTATTCTTCCTGGAATGATTGATGATAGAGATGATGGTTAGTTATTAATAATGATTAATTAATTAATTAATTAATTAATTCTAATATTAGCTAGTATGTCAACGTCTGGCTCTATGCTATTGGCTACATTGTCACCGACTGACTCCGCCCCTTCTTCCCCTTCCTCGTCCTTCCCTCCCTCTCCTCTCTCTTATGCTACTCTATTGACTCATAGGTGGGGCATCATTGGGGATCAATACGGAAGGTAATGTACATGTAAATGTACATGCAAAATACATGTATAAATCAAACGGGTCATTTACAATTTTAACTGTCATTAGAGGCTCTGTAATTGTAATTGAAGCTTAAGCTTGAGCAGAATTTGATTGAAATTTTTATTAAAATTGGCTTGTCATAGTGTACTGACTACGAACTCAATACAGACATTGAGAAATGCTCTTAGTCTACCTCAATAGCCACTTCATATTACATGATCATATGTACATGCACTGTACACATGGGGTTTCCCAGTATAGTGCTCAGCTTCTTAATTGCTAGCTCATGAGGTGTGCTGTTTACATGTGCATGTAGCTTGCTTGGTAGAGCTTTTGTCAAAATTAGATTTTTATGAATTTTTATAAGTTGCTCCAAAGGCATGTACATGTACATGTCTCTAACTCACTCTACATGTGCATGTACAGTGTATCTTATGATTAATAATGTACTGTGTAAATGTACATGTATTTTAATTTATATATTTCATGTAGTTATATTGTTCATTATTATATCATTAGGCTGCAGGTGTGGCATGTAGAGTCTATCATTCGTAAGCTTCATTCAGAGGAAGGTTCTGCTCCTGATTTCAAGTGTCATTTCACTGGCTCTCTCTCTGATTCATGGCAGTCCCCAGCCACTCCTTGTTCACTCATTGACTCTGTTGTGAGTTATCATATTCCTGGGAATTTTAGAAATGAAACCAACCGTTACAATGATTACATGCTCAATGGCACATTGGCACAAATTTGTCAAAATGAAACCTGCTAATCAACAAAAATTCACCAAAATTTCTCCCTTCAAAATTACCAGCTACACATGTACAAATTATACTTTACCTCTTGTGTAACCCTTATCTTTCTCACTATATGTACATGTACATTATATCTTTGTTACTACTGTATATGTACATGTATCTTTCTCTCTGTCATCTTTTTTAATGTTTTATCTTCTATTGTCTCTCTCCCTCTCTCTCTCTTTTTGTTAGTATCACAGTAACATGGCTGGTCCTTCTTCTAATATTACTGTTTCTTTATTTTTGACACAATTTGGTCGGTTGATCTGTGGATTGTCCAATGGTGATATCATAGTTCTATCAGCAACTCAAGCAGCTACCAAACTCTTACTAGCCAAGAGAAAGTTCTCAAGAGGTACTGGGCATGCACATGTAGATTAATTGTATACAGTATGTACATGTATACATACATGCATGTACATGTACATATTGTACATTGTAATTACATGCAATATGAATAGGATATTTTCTGTAGAAATTGTAATAGTGAATGTTTATCATGCCTGTAGTCTACTTACACATGTACATGTACATGTACACGTGCATGTGTTTACATGTACATGCATGTACATGTATATCATGATCATCTCTTTTTTTCTCTGTGCTTCTGTCTTCTCTCTCTTCTTTTTCCACTTCTCTCTCTCCCTCCCTCCCTCCCTCCCTCCCTCCCTCCCTCCCTCCCTCCCTCCCTCCCTCCCTCCCTCCCTCCCTCCCTCTCTCTCTCTCCCTCTCTCTCCCCTATAGCATGGCCTCAACATTATTTCTTAAGAGGTCACAAGAGGAGGGTCACCTCCCTGTTGTATCCCTGTGACTATAGCAATGCTTATGATAACAATCACTTGCTATCTGGTGGTGCTGATTTCTCTGTTAGATTGTGGGACCTCTACAAGGGAATACTGTTACACACTTTTGCAGTTCATGGTGGGGTAGTCAGTAGCATTGTAACATGTCCTCCTGATATTAATGTAAGCTTTACTTTCTCTCCTCTCTCTCTCTCTCTCACAAACACACACACACACACACACACCAAAGCATTCAATTTACACATGTACATGTACATGTAGTGCTAGCAAGAGTATATAATGGAGGAGGAGAGTGTCTTACTTGCCTATACT